CAAAAATCCTGCCCTGAATTGAGAGGAAAATTCACAGGGAAATTAGGGCAGAGTTTCTCTGCTTCTCTCAGACCTATCATCCTCAACATCTCCTGTGACGCTGATGGGCTGCTGGGACAGATGGTCAGTCCTCCTGCCTAGTTGGCCTGTTTTGCTCTTCCATCCGGAGCATCACCAGTTTTGCCTGCAACCTTCATGACTAGGAAACCTAGCAAGAACAGAAACAGGGGCTGAGGGGCTCCCTTTTTAAATCCCTGGTTAAAAGGGAGGAGTGGGTAGAGGAGGCCAGGAGGAAGGGAGGGTTGGACAGGCTTGCTGTGAGCAGATGCCAAGCAGGGCCAGCCAGGCTCTGAACTGGAGGGTGGGACAGGCCACAGCCACAGAGCACCATGTCAGGGAGTCCAGCTTCTGTAACAAACTCCCCAAGGAAGTTAAACTCCCCTACTGGGAGCCTGACCCCTGTAGCTCAGCAGGGCTCCCCCCACCCCCCAGTCTTCAGATCTGAGCCCCATTCCTGACAGCATGCCACCACCACCTGTAACAAAACTGTAGCATGCAAAGGGAAGAAGCAGGGTGCTGTTCTTTGGACACCTAACCCTGGAGGGGTGCTTCCCACTGTGCCACACATCTGTCAACCCGAGTCAGTGGGGACAGAGAGAGGGCAAAGGGCAGAACTCTCCCTGGGCACAGGAAAGAAAACAAAAGGGGCACAAACTTGGTGTCCTCAAATCAAACCCTCGCCTTTCGGTATCCTGCCTGGTTTTCTTTCTGGTTCATCTTCTGGTTTTTGTTTAGCCAGAAAAAGCTAGGGTGAGGTAAAGAAGAAATAACAGAAAATGTTTCTTCTACTCTTTCTCTCCTGAGAAAATTCACAATCAGAACCTGGCCTGTGTTACTCAAGGCATAGACCCCACACCATGTCAATTACACCACTGGAGCGGGTGCGGGTAGAGTTCCACAGCTGCCGGGTAGGGCGGGAGGAGAACCTGGCATCCATTGCTCTCAGGGTACCCGAAGAGAAAGTTGCCCCCCTAAAACAGCTATTTGTTATATACATTTTATTGAAAAAAATTTTACATCAAAATACTTTGGCAAACTGTAAAAGTATACATAAGTGCAAATATATCCTCCTTTTGAAATACAAGCAAAGTGTGAGTATACACGAAGGTCATAAAAATATCTTTAAAATATGGTGGTAGAAAACAACCTTGTAAAAACGTTGTATTGTCACAATACTGAAAACCACTTTCTTAAACTAGACACATTGTTTCTAAATAATTTCTTAATAATGTTCTTTGGCACCTGTATCCAAATGCAGTGTTTGGGGGAAATGACTCTCCCAACTCAGCTAGGCAACAAGAAGGGGCTTTTTTGAAATCTTGTGCTTAGCACTGCCTTTTTGAAAAGCACACAAGTTTTCATATCATAGACAAACATACACACGCACACACAACTTGTCTGCTGTTTTTCAGACCCTGATTACTGAAGGCAATGAAGATCCCAGAGCTACACGTGGCATATCTTCCTATCTCCTCAGTTGCCCTCTCCCCTCATGTGGGAGCCTGCAGGCATTCATACTGGGGACACTACCTTGCCAGCGGATGTCTTTCTTTCAGCAGTAGGCAAATTACAGTGACCAATGTGGTCCTGGGCATTCTGGCTAAGTGGGTGGTGTGTGGCTTACTGCTATCTTCCTGCTGGCGATGTGAATCCATCTGTTTGTCTCTGCCCCCCTCTGAGGAGGGAAAAGGAGAGAGCGGCCATTGCTCGGCCCCTTTCCGTTCACGTTCACATGACACAGGGCTTAATATCCTGACAGACGCTCTGGTGATGATGGTGATAATATGACCCGCTGGCTGAGGGATGGAAAGAAGAAATTCCATTGAAGTTGAGGACGAAATCTTTTCTGTCACACACTGGAGTAGAGTGATGCTGGTAACGGGGCAGTCCCACTGAAAGAAGAAAACAGAAACCTCCTCAGAAACAAAGTCACCAGGTTGATGGCAGGGTGTCTTATTTTGACTGAGGGTACAAAAGGTGCTGCTGTGTCTTTTAGTACATTGCTAGACAACTGGTAGAGAAAACCCAGCTTTAGAAGCATCTCACACACGCCAATGGCAGGTCATAGAACGGCTTTGGAATCAGTATGTTTTGTTTTGATGTTCGCACAAACACAGAGCAAGTTCTCCCCAAAGGCTGGTTCTTATGTCCTGGAATTCCAACTGTATTCTCTGAGGCTGGGGCGCGCGCTTTAATCTCAGAATGAGCACAGGTAGGGTACAGCTCCACCCAGACTCTGGATCCAGATCCCTCCCAGCAGAGCTCCTGACCTCTGCTCCCCTGAACCCTGGCTGCACGGAGGGCCAGGCGCCTGCCCAGAAACACCACTGCGGCCTTCTTTCTTGTTCTGAGCCTTGTTTCCTAACTGACTGTGCGGGTTAGAGCAGCGAGCGCAGAGGAATGCTCCCTGTGACAAAGGGGACTAGAGGAAACCCAATCGTAAGATGATCAGATGGGGCAGAAAAACACACCTCTTCTCCTGCCCCACCACAGGCATCTTCCTGGGTCCGGAACATCTTGGACTTCGTCTAGAGAAGCCAGGACTTCAGGGCGCAGAGAAATGCCCCTGGGTCCGAGGCATCTGGCAGGGCGGGGAGTCCCTGAGGTAGCCCTAGACTAGAGGGGGAAAGACAAGGCCCAGACCCTGCTCTCCCAGGGCGTCTCCCGGGGACCGCTCCCTGGTCCCTGGCCTGTGCCGGGCCGGCTTTTGCTTTTGTTTTCTCGGAGGAGCCTCTTGCCGCAGGATGCAGTCGGCCTGCAGTGCCCTGAGCACTGGGCCCCTGTGGCTACTGGACCAGGCCCTCCGGGCACCCGGTTGGGTTAGGTCCGTTCGCCTGGGTCTTAGTTAACTGAGTGGTGTGGGGACCATAAAGTGCACGTCGATTCAGGCCCGACTCAGTTTTTCAGTGCAAGAAAACTGTACCCACGGCCCACCAGGCTTGGGCCCTGCTCGCATGGCCTCGGCCGCGCTGTGTCCCCGCAATGACGGAGTAAGCCGGCTGCTCAGTGGCCGGCGCCTACTTCCTTGCTCACAACACCCACCCGAGCACGAGCACGAGCACGCCCGGCGCTGCTCTAACGCAGCTGCCTTGGCCCACGAGTCCCGATGTGTGCGTGGCGCTCTGCACACAGGTGCGTTTGCTCGTCGCATTAAAGCAAGTTCTGATGCCAAGTCCTGGACCACAAAATAGCAGGACACAGGCGAAGCGCTAAGGAAGCAGTCGACGCTTTGATGTGCTGGCAGAATGATAAAAGCCCGAGCTCCTTCCTGAAAGGCTGGCAGGGCTTAATGAAGGACTCCAGGGTCATAAGGACCTTGGCCTCCGGGCCTAAGATCTCAGGGCTCGGCCCTTGTGGGGTCCTGGGGGAGGGAGAGTCGTGCTGGGTTTGTGCGCGGGGACTTGTGCTGATCTGTGTGCTGCGCCCACGGAGACCGCCTTGCTCCCTGCCGGCACCTCACCAGGCCCCCAGGTCTCAGTGGCCATGGCCCAGCGGGCAGGGGCCCAGCGGGCGGGGCACTCCCAACAAGGCCCCACGGGGTCCTCTCACAGCGGGCCAGCTCCTCAGAAGCCTCTGCCTCTAGTGTTCCCGGGAGACTGCAACAGGGCTGGGTGGGTATTCTATAGGCACGGGAGCAAAAAGGCGAGAAAGGAAAGGCAGAGGGTCCCAGTCACGCTTTAGGACTGAGACATCCTCTCTCCCGAGCATTCCCAGACTGGTCGGGAGTTCTGCGAGACTCCCAGGGAAGGCCGGCCGCGGGAGGCCGCTGGGCAGAGGCACAGAAGCCTGCCTGCTCCGCCGAGAAGTTTTCAGCCAATCCAAGAGAATCGTGTATCCAGATTCCGAAGTTTTGGGAGCTTGTGCATGCTCCCCATGTATGGGATGGGGAGAGAGTAGCCTTGAAGAAGGGTCAGAAGTCCCTTTCCTGTGTGGTTTTTTTTCTTCCTAGAGTATGGTTTCTCCAAGACTATGAAGCCTTAGAGTCTGGGCCTTCCCGGAGAGGAGGAGAGCTGGCAGGACAGCTGGCAGGGTGGGAGAGGAGCGGGCAGGCCGGGAAGGAAGGGGTGAGCCCACCGAGGGCTGTGCGTGTGTGCGTGTGTGCGTGTGTGATTGACAGCTGGTCCAAGGGGATACACAAATAAGACGGGAAGGCCGCCTGTATTGGTTACTTGCTGAAATTCCCATAAAATTGAACAAGACTCTGTTCTCAGTGGGTTAAGTCAGGCTAAAATCCTCTCCCGTGTGGTCCTGCCGAGACTGTCTTTGTTTGGTTAACCTCTGAGACCCACATTTAAAAGGCCTATTTGGGAAATTTCACCCTCCAGGGAACCAACATCTTTTGCCCATTTCTAGCCTTCCCTTCTCCCCTGGTGCTCCTTCAGCACACCGACTCAGGAACACATAAAGTATGCATCACCCTACAAGTCACTGTCTCATTGCTGTGGGAGGCCAATGTGAGACAGCAGCTTGGGGCCTTGCCTTTGACTGGCAGGCCCATCGGATTTTAATCTGCAGCCCTAGGTACTCGGAGGGAGGGGTTGTAAGGATTTATCTCTATTCTCCAGACAAACCTGGCCAAATATTCAAATTCCCTCCTCCATCCCCACCACCTCCTCCCACCTCTCACCACCTTCAGGAAGTCAATAAATTTTCATAATCTGCGACCAACATAATGTAAACCAGCCACACTAAAAGTGGCATCCATAGGGCAGGCACATTTATCAGGGGAGTCCCAGTAGGGTCCTTCAAGTCCTGCCACCCCCAACCTGTATCATCAATGTGTGTTCATTGTAGGGGGGGGGCAAGGAAGGGGAGGGGACCTAAACAGTTTGGTGACACCCCCTCCACTGACAAATGTCCCTTTAGTGAAAGATCCTGGGTGCCAGCTCTGTCCCTCCCACCCCCTCCTCTTTACACTTGCCCAGCTGCAAACATCTCCCTACGTACGCCCCAACATACAGAACATCTCCGATTCTCACATTTACTTTGGGACAATGGTACAGCAAAATGAATTCAAGGAAAAAAAAAAAAAGGACAAAAGGAACTAGACACAGCTTCCTGACCAAGGTCCCCAAAGGTCATATGCCTCTCAGAGCTAAGTCAGACTAGGAACAGGAGACCTGCAGCCTCCTGCACAGGGACCCCCATTGACCCAGGAAGGCAGGGGACTTCACACCATGCTCACAGCAGCCAGACGATTCTGAAGGTTCAGCTGCTGGCCAAGGATGCTGCGAGGACAGTAAGACCACGTCCCTGTTCCCACGAATAAGGAGGCTCTCCCCAACATCTGCTTTTCCCAGTGCCCTCAGACCTCCTGGCTTCGGGGTCCTTGTTTGTGGCAGTGGCAGTGGCTGCCAGCCCTGGAGGCCTAGAGGCGTTGCGCCTAGCCGGCTGTGCTGGAGGGCGTTGCCTTACCTGAGAGGTCCTCACGGGCGTTCTGGTGCAAGTAGCTCTGCTCCAGCGAGTAGGAGGACATACTGGAGTGCAGGCCTGCAGAGGCTGCGGGGTTGCTGCTCGGCGTCAGAGCAGGCGGCTGCTTGAGGTAAGGCGAGGCGCCAGGCGAGCTCCAGTGCGCCGCAGGGCTCGTGTAGGGCGAGTGGCATTCGATGGCGCTCGCCATGGCCGGGGACGAGGGCACTGGGCTGCTGCTGCTGTCCGGCCCGTAGTCTCCGCCGCCGCCACCCCCGGCCGCACCGACGCCCCCGGGTCCCGCGGGCACGGGGCAGCTGGCCATGTAGGTGGAACCCGGGTTGGGCGACATGTGCGGGACGTGGTGGTGGTGATGGTGGTGAGGGTGCGCATGGCTCGGGGCGCCCGCGCCGGCGTCGTAGCCCGCGGGCATCATGTCGAGGCCGCTGTAGCCGCCCTGGCTGTGGCAGCCGAGCGGCGCCGAGGGGGGCGCCTGGAAGTCGAAGCCCTGGGGCAGCAGCGAGGCCCCGAAGCCCAATCCGCTCACCACGCGGTGGTACATGGGCTTGAGCGCCTGGCACTTCCGCCTGAAGCCGCGCGGCCGGCGGCGGAACGAGCCCTCCTCGAACATGAACTCGCTGGCCGGGTCGATGGTCCAGTAGTGGCCCTTGCCGGGCCGCCCAAGGCCCTTGGGCAGCTTGATGAAGCACTCGTTGAGCGAGAGATTGTGGCGCACCGAGTTCTTCCAGCCCTGGTAGGCGCCGCGGAAGAAGGGGAAGCGCGCCTGCAGGAACTGGTAGATCTCGCTGAGCGTCAGGCGCTTGCTGGGCGAGCTCTGGATGGCCATGACGATGAGAGCGATGTACGAGTAGGGCGGCTTTTCGGGCCGCCGCAGCCCCGAGCTCGCCTTCTTGGCGCCCCCACTACCGGCGCCCGCGCTGCTGCCGCCGCCCGCGCTCTTGCAGGCAGCCGAGGGGGCGCTGGCAGAGTTGGAGGAGGACGAAGACGAGGCGCAGGAGGCGGAGGACGACGACGACGACGAGGAGGTGGTCTCCAGAGCGGCGGCGGCGGCGGGCGGCGGGCTCATCAGGGCGGCCTGGAGCGCGCCGGGGGCCGGGCTGCACGCGCGGCGGATCGGGGCCGGCGGCGGGCGCGGTGGAGGCGGCGGCGGCCCGCCCTCGGTTGTCATCTGGGACCCGGGAGCGAGGCCGGGCCGCGAGGGCGGGCCCCGGGCGGGGAGCGGAGGCGCCGGAGAGGGGTCGGCCCAGAAGCCGGACGAGCGCCCTAGCCCGCCGCCCGGGGTGCTGCCGTGGCCGCTCCGGGCCAGCGCTTCGGTGTCGCCTCCCTCAGCTCCTTTGGGGCTTCTGGAGGCGGCGACGGGCGAGAGGCAACGCCCGGCGCATCACTCCGCGAGCCGCGGGCCCTGCCTTGCGCAACGGCCTCCCAGGCCGCGAGGCCGAGCGGCCGGCGCCGGGCAACTGCGCGCGCGAGTGGGACCGCGGCCGGGACCCCGGGGACGAGCCCGACGTTTCCCTTCAGGAGCGCTCCTCGCTCTGTCTCTCCGACTTCCTCCCTCCCGCGCCCTCCCCGGCAGCTCTCCTCGCTCCCTCCCTCCCTCCCTCCCCCTACCCCGCCCTGCCCCCTCCTCGCACGGCGCCGCCGTGGGGAGGGCGCGCTCGGGCCGCGGCGCTCACTCCTCCCCCTCCCAACCTGGCGGCCGCCTCCCTTGCTTATCTCGCTCTCCGCACTCCAGGGTCTCCTCGCTCTTTTCATTCCTCTCTCGGCCTTTTCCACTTTCCCTCACCCACCCTCTTTCAAACGGGGGGAATCACAGACTCAACTCTCATCTTCCTGGGGGAACTACCCCCTCCCCCCCAGCAAAACTCGACCACCTCTGACTTTGTGAAATCTTCTTTCTGTTTGCCCCCTAGAGCAGCCCCCGCTCCCCATCCCAGGACCTGGCTGCCCCCCGCGGAGTGGACCCTGCGCCGCCCACCAACCCCCCGCTTCCCCTTTCCTCCTCCTAGCCCGCGGGGCCGAGTGGTGCTGCGCGGGTGCCGCCGCCCGGAGCCTCCCTGGCCGCCCTCCCCAGGGCCGATACTGACTCCATCTGTCAACTTCGTTTAGACTTTGCCGCCCTCAGCCACACGCCGGGGTGCCAGACGCCCAAAGGTAACGTGCCAATCCCCTCTCTTTCTGGCTGGGCCTGCAGGCTCCCCCGACAATTGTTAGGGCAACTGCGGGCGCTCGTGGACGTTTTCGGAACTTTGAGCAGAGGGATTTGGACTGAGAAACCTAGGCCAAGTTTTAAAGACTCTGGAAACCTGGATCTCATGGGACTCAGGTTGTATTTGCTTCACTTCCTTACCCCCCACCCCCGTTAGTGTTTTGTAAGAAAAAAAAAAAAAAAAAAAAGGAAAAGGAAAAGAAGAAAAAATAAAAGAGAGAGAAAGACCCTGAGATAAGCGAGATGGTTGTATTTATATTCAGTCCTGAAGGGGTGTGCAGCTGTCACTAGGTTTACATCCTCTGTCTTAACATTGCCCACCCAAAACTGTGCTAGGTCTCAGCTAACTCCTGTCCGAGAACACTTCTCCCCAGTTGCGGCTAATTCCTCCCTGAGTAAGAGTCAGGCTCTGAGAGAGATGTGCCCTCGGGAGCAATCATTTCCAATGAGACCCGACAGTTAGTTATTGGATTACACGTGCAGGGAAATGTAGTCCGACCAGGGGATAGGAGCTGGGAGACGGAGGAGGAGAGCAGGAGGCCGGAGCTGGCGGGGCCACCCAAGGGCTGAAGGGGGAGGCCCAGAAAGGAGGTACTGAAGACCAGCCGACTAAACAGGAGGCAGAGCTGGGCACCCCACTGCATCTAGGCTGAAAGGTCGGAGGTGCTTGTGCCTGCTGGGGAGCCTGGGGAGATGGGGGAGGCAAGAGAAGGGGAGGTTGTGCAGTAATCAGGAGGGAGCCGCCAGGCAAAGAGCCTTCAGTCTTCAGCTGCACCGCAGAGGCAGGCATCTTGGGGTTGGCAGGAGCCCTATGTGCCCCCGGAGTGCTGGGGGACTGCTGCCGCCTGAGTGCCCTGGTGGAGCTGTAGATGCAGAGAGGGCGGGTGGGGAGGGGAGGGGTAGGTGGGAGGGGGGTGGGCCAGGGCTGGCCCCAGACAGTGACCTGAGGTTGAGTGGAAGCAGGCTTTTTCCATCAAACCCTGCCTGGATACCACACACAGAGACCGAGTGTCAGTTTACTGCCCTGAGCCGGCTCCTTCTCCCTAAGCTCCACAGTAATTAGACAAAGAAAACCTAAATTAGCTGAACAGGCGTCGACAGCTTCCTCCAGAGCACCCCTGGTACCTACATGGGAATGTGTCCGAAAATGGCTTGATTGTAGCCGAGAGTCAGCTAAGAAAACACTGCCAAGCTGAACTCAGTTTACCACTCATTTCCAATAGAAAAAAGAAACAAGGCGCTCTTTTCCGGGTGGGATGTTTTGATTGGGTTGGGGCAGGGAGTTTGCAGTTGTTTCCACTTTCTAAGAATTTCTTTCTCACTGACTGCTGAATGGTTTTGGGGGGTGGGTCCTCATATATTTCATAGTATTTTTTCTGTTGCCCTCATTTGTCATTTTATGTGGAATAACTTCAAAATACGTAACTAAACATAAAAGTTAATATAATGTGTTCACTAAACTAATGCTTTAAGTGCTTAAAATATAATTATTTTAATAAAATAGAAGCTGGAGTGGGGAGGATAGATAGGATCTTAAAAGAGCTCTCCTGACATAGAGTTCAGTGTGTGTGGGTCTGTCTGTGTCTGTGTGTGTGTGCATGAAGTGGAAAGGCATCAGCCCAGGGGGGAAGGACAGTCATCTCATTTGTAGGTGGGGTTGGTGAGCAATGGGCTTTGGGAACATTCAACACTCCTTGTCACTTGGCCTGGACCCTGATTCTCTGTGCTTGAGAATTAGATGTACTTAGATCTCAGAGGGCAGAGCTCCACCCTTTTAAGAGCAGGCCTTGAAAGGTTTTAGACCTGGAGACTGAAGAATAAAAGGCACTAACCCTAAAATCCAGGCAGGACCAGTGATAACCTTCTATACAAGCAGCCCCCAGTTTTGGGGTTATAGGGTCATCCTTTAAGAATAGGATGGAAGCTTTGGAGGCAGTTTCCAGAAAAATACTTTCAATTTTCTTGGGCTTTTAGGAAGTCCACAGGTACTTGTTAAGAGAAACAAAAAACACCAGATTCTTTTAGTGTCTAGCAATTCAGCTGATTAAATTACAAGGGATTTTTAAAAGGCTCCCTTGTCCATCCAAGTGACAGTAGTATCTATTTTGCCTAAATTCTAAACTTGCAAGAAATCCCCCTATGCTGAGTGTTATGAGGGCTGGTGGAGTCACGGAAAGGCAGTGGGCATTTGGAGAGCGGTTAGGGCCTGAGGCAGTCTGCTGACTCACAGCCTTCTGTCTCTGCAGGGATCTGCATGCTGCCCCTGTAGACCCTGAACTCCAGAATGATATGGAGCTTGGGGGCCTTCTTAAGTTATATCAGCGGGAAGGCTCCTCTCCAAAATTCTTTCTGAGATACCCCACTTCTGTCCCTGGAAACTATTCCCAGGTCTATAATTGCTAAAGCCCTGCATCTATTTGTTACAGACCTTGCAGGTACCATCTTGTCATCCACCAGGTGGCCCAGGTATCATCCTCCTTTTGAGGTGAGGAAACCAAGACTCAGAGACTGGGTGACTGGCTACAAGTCACATAGGGACAAGTGATAAAGCTGGCCTGCAGCCTGGGCCTGGAAGTCCAAAGTCAGTGCTCTTTCCACTGCGTTACAGCACAGCTTCTCTGAGCTTTGTGTTAATCACTGATTTATACAAATCTCTTGAGTAAGAATGCATATGATAGCAAATTATGTCAATTTCTCTATCCCTGGGAGGAATACCTTAATTTCTGGTTAGCAGACAGGGTTTAAAAGGAAAATTATGTTTGTCTCAAACAGAGCCTTGCTTAGGATGGTTTCTCCCTCACTGGGGTTCCTTCTTACAGGGTGAGTTCTTCATTCACTTTCACTCCCTATAAAAAAAACACGAATCTTGAAAATTTTTTTCTTACAGGAAGGAAAGGTATGGTTCA